CCCAAAACCCCAAAACCCCAAAACCCCAAAACCCCAAAACCCCTAACCTTTAATAAGGTATGCTAATATTCATCAGTGATATTACAATTTTGGTATCATAATGACAGTTTTTCCTTCGAACACCAAGTTTTTAGTGAAAAGGAATTAATTAGAACACAAATTAGGATCGCAATCCTAACTGATTGCTTAACTATTTCCAGATCATCACTTACTTAATGCGGAGAGCGAAGCTTACTTATTAATTACTCCCTTCGCTCTATCGCTATGATAAGTAAATGGAGTTGATTCTAGGAATTGTTCAGCATTTAGCTCACAAAATTCAAAACATGATTGAGTTTCTCCAGAATTTTGAGCTTTTTCATTAACATCTGACTTGCTATTCTTGTGGTAATAGCTGCGCCTTATTGCCTTCTCATTGCCAAAGACTTGCTCAAAAATCTTGTAGTTTTCACTCTTTGTATCAACGCTATTTAAACATAAATTGATCGATGATTGTTCCTCCTGTTTTATCAGGTTGAGGAGTTCTGTGCATTGGCTGAAGAGGCTCGAAGTTTGAAATTGATAATTTTCTCAATGGACTTTTGTTTATCCCACTTTGGTCCTTACATACGATATCTGTGTTCTCAGAGATTGGTTTATCATCCCCATTGCTTGAGTAATCCTTCTCACCTTGCTCTGAAGTCTTAACTCTCTTATCTGCTCTTTGAGAACCAGAATGAATTGGTTCACCAGCATGTTCTTCGAAAGCTTTTCTGATATTGCTGATAGATTGGTTTTTGTCGTTTCTATCTAATTTGTCTAGCTCTGAACGTTTTCTTTTGATTCCTTCATGTTTCTTCTTTTCTTCAGTATTAGAAGGAAGAGCAATGTTCATAACAGAGGCACCCTTTTTCCGATTAGCGATAATGTTTACTTCCCTCTCTTCATCATAGTCTGTATTATCCATCCCAGAAGCAAGTAAGTTCTTTTCTACTTCCTTCAAGTCAAGACCTCTCAAGAATTCATCAAGAGTGAGAGCTTTCTTATCAAGTTTCACGAAGAACTTTTGAGCATGAGACCTTGCTTGGGTGCTAGTTCTAGTGTTCACATGCTGTTGAACTTTTTGCCATTCTTTCCCATACTTTTTGAGTGCCTCCAAAAATTTGAAATGCTCAAGACATGTCCACCTGCCTTGATTGTAAACTACCTCATTTTTATCAATGGAGCTCATACTAGTACTACTGCTTGGTATTTTCGCATTAAACGATCTTTTGACACTGTTTTCTCCAAATGCAGGCGAATTTGAATAACCCTGCTTGTTCCTCCTCTTATGGATTGAGGAGTTACTTGGAGGACTCATTTCATTAGCAGCCTTTTTCCCGGTAGTTGGTCCATACTCAAAGTCATCGTACTTGAATGGCCTTCTCCCCATATTTCTGTAAGAACCCCCATTCTTAGTATTCCTAATACTTCTTCTTAGGAAATTTCCATTTGAATCGTTAAATATGGGAATGTTCTGCTTCATTAGTTTTACGTTCGTTCTCGTCTCCTGAGGTAACTTCTTTATCTTGGTTGTCTTCTTTACTAAGTTCTGGATGGATATCTGTTGCATCCTCACCGAAGTTCCTACCTTTTGTCCACCTGTGGGAATTGTTGTGGGTGTTCTCGTCAGAATTTTTGTACTCTTGTTTCCTCTGAAAAACTTGCTGATTAATGTTCATCTCGTTGATCTTTGATGCTTCAACTTCGGAAGCTCCTCTGACTCCCTTACTTTGTAAATTGTTGCTAGTATATAGTCTGGCCATGGCTAAGGCTTAATAATAAATAAATGAAATATTTAATAAAAATCCTCTAAATTTTTGAGTTATATTCAATGTTTTCTATAAATAAGGGGTTTTGGGGTTTTGGGGTTTTGGGGTTTTGGGG